CTTTTCATAGTAAACGAGGTACCAAATGGAAGAAAATTGAGCTATTTCATTACTTTAATTCGTGGACCAAGGTATGAAATTGTAAAAAACTTGGAAGCTCCAAAGAGTCCTACAGATCATATTATCATACTTACGAAGAAGCAGTTGACGTTTTGAGGAAGCATTTTTGTTCACCAAAATTAATTGTTGCCGAAAGATTTAAATTTCACAAGTTCCAGCAACCACAAAATGAAACATTTTCTAAGCTAGGAAATGATTCTCAATATTGTGAGTTTAAAATCTTTTCGGATGATGCTCTACGTGATAAACTAATTCACGGACTTTGTCGAGAAGATAAAAAAAAAAAAATATTAGGAGTTGAAAATTTAACATCTGCCGAAGCTTGTAGAACGGCTCTGTTGATGGAGGCAATGGAGTCGGAGCTAAAACAGTTAAATTTAAATGAATTTGCAGTAAACCAAGTTGAACACCAGTTTTATCCGTGTAATTCAAAAGCGCTTTACCGATGTGGACGTTTTCACAATTCGACAACTTACCCAGTGGCAAAATGGAAATGTCATGGCTGGAAAAGAGGGTCACATTGAAAGGATGTGTCGGTCTCAGATTGAGACTAAGTCGAAGGACTATGGATGAAAAATAAACGAGATAATAAATCAAACTACGTCAAGGGATTTATTGAAGAATCAGATCATATTGTCGGACCTGGGGGTTATGAGGTGGTGAGAATCAAAACTAGAGCCAAGTACAAAAATAGTATTTAAAATAAAGCTCACCACAAATACATTTCAGATATGGGCATGGGCACTAATAATTATCACAGGACCAAAAGGCACTATTATTTCTGACTAACGTGGTTAAATCTCGATCTGTAGACTACTCTCTCATCTTCCAAAAACCATTATTTTATATTAAAACGGCGACCGGGCTGCAACTCTGTAACGGATAGAGATCGTATTCCCTATCGCTATGGCACTTGCTGTCTTCTTCTCTTTTGTCGAAATGAATAGAGAAGAGACGTCAATAGAGATAGAGGAAATATCTCTATTCGTTACAGAGTCCCAGCCTTGGTGCGTGATCGCTAATTATAACTATTACCGGTGAACAGCCGTTGACATTGACCTTTGATAGGTTCAGGTTTCTCATATAATTTGATAATTCGTTTAGCTTGCACCCAAATTTTATTTAAACGTGACGTGATCAATGATTTTTCTGAAACCCGTGAACCTTTTGGGTTTAATTAATTGAAGGGTGATGCCCTATTATCCTGGATACGACAATATTGTTGTAGACAAAACAGATTTATACACCTTGTTCAACATCAGGTAAACAAATTAGGTACTGCCCTGTACTGTCTCAAATTGTTTTCATTAATGGTGTAGTGGCTTAGAAATTCAGCAATTTACATTCCAGCTTAATTTGTGGAAATCTAGTGAAGAAAGAAAGGGGGAAAAATGTCTAGGAAAAAAAAAGGACAGGGCAAGAGAAAACCAAGACGAGAAAAACTAATCTATACTAAGGGTCGCTTTTATAAGTAGAGTTTAAACTTCAGATTAAACTGCGGTTTAACGAAAAGTTTAAACCAATGTTTAAAATAAAATACCTTCTTTTACGTCTGTCAGTAAAGTTCGGGAAAATTGGAATAATTGCTAATGCCACATTATAAAGAAGAGGAAATTGTCCCTAATCTATGTTTTTAAACATCAATTTTAAAATTTAAAAGTTGTTTGTTGAAGTTGTTACATTGAGTGGTTATTGTGTCGATGTGAAAAAATGGATTTGTTAGGTACAAAAAAGAAATCAAAATTTCTCGGAACAAGAAATTACTCTATTAAAGGAGTTGGTCAAAATCAACAAGGATTCTCTCTTTATTCATTGATTTGTTTCCCCAAAAAAAGGGTTATAATCTTAGGATTGTAGTTTAAACCAACCCCCAACCAACGGTAAAGTTTAAACTTAGGATTGACGATAAACCCAAGTTGTAAAAGTGTCAATTTTATAAAACTGTAGTTTAAACTTAAGATTGGAGTTTAAGCTCTACTTGTAAAAGCGGCCCTAACTAATCTGATAACGGAAGAAAATGAAAAAAAAGCAGTGGAAAACGAAAAAGGGAAAAAACCATGGAAAAATTAGGGAATAACGTTCGAGAATTTCTGGGAAAGGTTGTGAAAGAAAATCCAATAAATCTGCAATTATTTTGTTAAAAACATTGTCGATTGACCTAAATACTAAATAAAAGTATTGTCCTGTCTGTTCATTTCATATTACTTCCCACCAATCCCACCCTATATATCGATTAACGCAAGGGAAAAACAATTCGATTGCGTTTTTGCTTTTTTCCCTCTGGAATGTTTTACTTCGAATGTCAATCCAAGTTCGAAGCCTAATAATTCTCTGGAAATATTCAGGCATTAAAATAATCTAACTCAAATCTGTTGCTATTACATTTTGTGTAATATGGTATTTTCTAGGAAGTGAACTATTGCATGTCATCAAACTATAAATTTTTTTTTTTTCATGTAAAATCTATTTGGCACCAATTTTAAAAATAGATAATTATGTGCTCAATAATTACATTTCCTGATGTGACATGACCCACAACCACAAAACCGATTTTATCCGAAAAGATCACGTCCTGTCATGATTTCGAAAATGCCTCCGCGTGCTGGCAATTTACACCGAATTAACCTGAAAATAGCGTGCTGATATTTCGATAATCGTTCTAATAAAACAGTCAAAAGTCACGTCAAGCACGTGTTAAACTGATTTGAAATTATCTAAAAAACTTAAGCATGCTTAATAAATATTTTTCCTAGATAAATACGTTTTCTAGGGGGGAATTTTTTTTAATTTAGAACGCTTCCAGAGGCGAATTTCCGCAATGTAGGTCGTCCGACCTTTGACCTCTTATTTTTGCTGAAACCGACATACTATATGATATGTGGCCCTCATCGATGCACAACGAACATGGGAGATGTGAAAGAGCACTCTAAAATTTCAACTTTGAAGAGGAGTATTGACTTTTTAATTGAGGTTGATGATGCGAGTAATAAATCAACCTGTTTGCTGCTTTCAAAAAATATTTTATGATTAACCTAATCCCGTAAGCAATTTTCATAAAAGCTTTCCAGTGTTCTTCAAATTACTTTTTTCAAAATTTAATCTGTACTGCTTAAATAGGAAAAAAAGGCCTGTATTTTATTATGAGTTTAGTACTTCCAAAGTACCTATACTTCTTAGATTCAATGCCCATGTTTAATTACCTTTATAATTGATTACAGCAAGCTGAGGATTTAGCATCTCCTATCCATTTACCGTTTCTCGTTTCTGAATATAACTAACAATTATACTTGATATTGTCAAAAAGCGATGCTACTTTGACCGACTTATGACTGGCGAGTCAGTGAAAAACGAATATAAATAGTGGTCGGCAACACACGGATAGGCAGACTTGAACCAGCGCAAATACCTTTTTTGGGAAAGCTCCTCTGGCTTCGAGTCACCACCTAGCGCAAATACCTCTTTTGGGAAAGCTCCTCTGGGTTTCTTCAGTCTTCGTGTCGTCTAGTGCAAATACCTCTCTTGAGAAAGCCCCGCTGGACGGCCCTTTACTTTAGCGAATCGTTCCTAACGTAGCTTTGTGTTTTTCAGGTAACCCATAGAAGAGGCACTATGTACCATATGGCCATCCTTTGGTAATTACTAATTATTATAACCTTTACTCTACAATATACCTCAAACTAAATACCAAGCGAGTTTCCATCCTCCCGACCCTACGCTACGTACCCCGTCCTGACAGGATAAAGTTGTGACAATATAAGTACTATATCATTATTTGGGTTTTAATAAAATAGAATAACGAAACTAAGATTGAAATTAGGAAACATCGAAGTCAGAATCTGATTTGAAGTTTACATCGTTCATTCATTCAAATACAAAGGAAGTTTTCTCGTCCTTTTGTTATTTGACTGGTTCATGTTTCCAGAAAAATAACCAGACTATTGATACCTCTTTTACATCGATATCAAAAGTATTAGAATCTTTTAATTGAAAACAGATCTGATATAAAAGTTTCGACTGTAATGGTAATGTCTGAACATGGCCAATAGTCCGTTTGAAAAATATAGGTACTTTATCTTTCAGCTTGAAGTAGAATTTCAATTCTTTATCCAGGCCAAGTAGTCAGATATAACATCAGGTTTTCAATTAGGCAAATATTTTCTTTTTTCCAACATTATTTTAATATAAAGTGAACTTGGAACATTTTGCAGCAAAAACCCAAAGTTCGATTAATCTCAAAAGTCATTAATTCTATTTTTATCGTTTCAAAATCCAGGAAATCCCATCACATTTTAATTTATTTTCCTAACACACTTGATGGCTTTTCTATGATATGCATCCTGGATAAATAGTAATTTCTGTCACCTTCACTGCGTAGATTCCCTAAATTATAGGGCGTTCGACCTTTGACCTTTTATTTTATGTGGAACGCCATTGAACGCAACTAGGAGGCAGGATATTTACTGGAATAGGATCACTGGATCAGCAGAATTGACTATTCAATGAAGAATTTCGAAATAAAATTCATTTTATGTGTGTGAAAATTAAATTTTTGCTCCAAACTATACGAAAGATATATAAACAAAAAACTGATTCTGTGTTTTTCTTGGCAAATCCATAAAAGTTTTATGATGTAAAAACTTTCTTACTTAGAAAAACGTTTTTCTTTTAGACAATATTGAGTTACGTGGCTTCTGATGGGACCATTGATTTACTGGAACAACTCATCCAGATACCAGGATTAGATCCAAACAAACCCGATAACGAAGGAAATACTCCTTTGCATTTTGCAGCTCAAGCAGGTAATATATTATTCAATATAACTCGTTAAATTTGTTGCTTATTTCATTATTTTAGGTCAGGTGGAATGTCTCAATTGCCTGATTAGTAGATGCAGAGGAGTGGACATAGATGCTAGGAATAATTTAGGATTTACGCCTCTTATGAAAGCGGCCTTACAAGGAAGAAACAAATGTGCCAAATTGTTGTTGTTTGCAGGTTTGTTGTTTCTTTAGTCTATCAAGTTTTAATGAATATAGAATTTTGCTTTCTTCAACAAGACAAAAGTCTATCATCTCGCTTGGATATGATTCACAAATCCCAACACATTGGCGTACACCGCAAAACCTCCACCTGGAAATTTCCAAAAAGCTACTACGATTGGTTTTTGAGTAAATTAAGAGAGAGAAACTAAAAACTTGCTTTATAGTCTTCATTCTAAAATCTTAAATAAGTAGTCCTTATAAAGCCTTCAAAGTGATTTATTTTGTAGTCTGATTTTGTGCTTAAGAAGCTTTATAATTTTAGTCTTGTGAAATTTTGACGTTTTCCCTATCTTTGGAATTTCAAATCTCCATTCAGCAGGGCCTTTGTAGTGTACATTCTGAAATTTTGGAAAATGAGTCTTTAGAGTCTTTATAATCTGCAAAATCTCAATAATCTACGGAGTATTAATAATAATAATAAGATATGATCTTTTCTTGAGACACTTCAACAAATTCTTCAATAACTTCGTAGTTTTTGGAGGCCAGTCTTGAATCTTTATTTTAAGATCCTCAAAAATGATTCTACCGATTTCATGGAATTTGAAACTATTTTTGTTGTCGGTGAAATTTTTAGAGTCTCCAACCTCAAGACACCTTATGCACAGTCTTCTTTGGAGTTTCAGTTCTTCAATCAGCAGGGCCTTCCTAGTCTACGTTCTGAAATTTTGAAAAACGAGTCTTAAAAGCCTTTAGAATCTTCAAAGTCTCAATAATCTTCGAAGTCGGTATTTGATAAGACGTGGTTTTTGCTTGAGACATTTCAACAAAGTCTTTAATACCTTCGTAGTTTTTAGAGGCTTCAGTCTTGAATCTTCATTTGAGGATCCTTAAAAATGAGTCAATTGATTTTATGGAATTTGAAACCATTTATTGTTGCCGATGAAATTTTTAGTCTCCAGCCACAAGACACCTCAAAGTCTTCTTTGGAGCTTCAGATACTTCAATCAGCAGTGCCTTTATAGTCTACATTCTGAAATTTTGAAAAAGGAGCCTTCAGATTCCTCAAAGTCTTCCAAATCTCAATAATATTGGAAGTATTTAATAAGACATATTCTTGGCTTGAGAAACTTCAACAAACTAACAATCTTTATTATCTTCGTAGTTTTTAGACGCTTCATGGCCGTTTGCACCGACCATTTTAACGAAGCCTTAGCGATAAGTATTCCTTAAAATGACATTTTTACATGGAGAAATGTCACTTAAAGGAATACTTATCGCTAAAACTCCCTTAAAATAGTATGGTATTGTGGGGGCGGGTCTATTTGTAATTGAAAGAAACAACTGACTTATGGTTATCCGTTAATAATTATACTTTATTAATAAGAAAATAAACAGATTTTCAGTCCCTATAACAATGGTACAACTTTTCTAAACCCTTATTCAACACCTTCCAATACAAAAATAAATAGTCCTAAATTGATGCAATCAGAAAGCCTTGTAATTTAATAACATTTTCAATATTTTTAAACCCTAACACCTTTTTCCCTCAAAACAATAATTCATAATTTAGTTCAATCATTATAACTTCCTGTTCTATAAACGTATAAAATCCCTGAACTCGCTTACTGCTAAATTTTGTACAATACTTATACTCAAAATCGAGTACTTAGCCAGAGTAAATACTATCAAAACAATGAATATTTCATCCAAATTTCATTTAATTAGAAACCAAAATATCTAATTAATCATTTATTAAATGGAACAAAACAGTCAATTTGATTATCCAAACTCTTCAGTAATTGATTTCAATTAATAGACCATTCACTCAAGATATTATTAGGTTTGTTCGAACTTAGTTCAGAATCAGTTCAGAATTGAACTGCGCATGCGCATTTGTTTATTTATGTTCGAGCAAACCTAATATTTATGTCATAAAGTTTCATAGTCAGTTCACTTTATAGTGATTTCAACATTGTTAAAGTCAAAATAAAACTTACATTTAAATTATCGCCCTTAAGAGTCACTTAATTATTCTAATTATTATTTTGTCGCCCCTTTTATACCATTATTTACCCACCAAAATCGACAATATGGGCGGTCATTTGACCATCTGTAATTCAATTCTATTGGTCAACCTAGATATTATTCCAAAAAAATATAACTTCCTCATTCGGATGATGACGAAATCTGTGTTGAAATTGTATGATAATTTGGGGTCAATGAAATAGGAAAGAATGTAGAGGACACTTAATTCAAGGAAAAGCCGACTCGTGCCGGCAATAAATCATACGATCTTTTGAAATTTCTGTCATTTTGGGACCTAATTTAGGGAGGTACCTAACCTTGTAGGTATTTAATCTTTTCCAGGGTTTGATTTATGAGTTCAATTAACTTGATGAAACACGCCTGATGACTGGTTAGTAGAAATTGAACATATTTCAAATAAACTACTCAAAACGAAATAAGGACCACTTTTAAGAGTACCTTAGTTTTTATTTAATTTTGAATAACTCTGGTAAAGTGACTATTTCCATTTACAATATAGATAAACAAATAAAGTGTGCACAAAAAATTTATATTGTGAATGGAAATAAACACTTTAACATGGTTATTCAAAATTCAATAAAAATAAAGGTGTTTTTGAAAGTGGTCCTTATTTCGTTTTAACTAGAGTCAACGCTAATTTTTCTCAAGATTTTCCAGTTTTATTGATACTGATTTGAAATATGGGAGATTCAATTTTTGATTATATGATTGCATTTAATTTTCACTGTTAAGACATTGTAGATTACGGGTCTATTTTTCCCGGGTCATTACAATTGTTATCGGTGAAATTTTTAGAGTCTCCAGTCGCAAGACACCTCAAAAAGTCTTCTTTGGAGTTTCAGATCTTCAATCAGCAGGGCCTTTATAGTCTACATTCTGAAATAAGAGTCTTTAGAGCTTCTAGACTCTTCAGATTTTCAATATTCTTCGGAACATTTAATAAGACATGATCTTTGCTTGACACACTTCAACAAAGTCTTCAATATCTTCGTAGTTTTTAGAGTTTTCAGTCTTGAATATTAAGATCGTCAGAAATAAGTCTTCTGACTTCTGCACTTCTGAGTTTTACCCCAGGGAAATTAGACCAAAAAAAGAGCCATCTGCGGAATGAAGCCGAACAAGCTGAATTTTTGCAGAGTGCTTCGTTTTGATGTTCTAATGAAGGACAAAAAAAATCGAATATGACTACCCTTGTGCGTCTTGAGATGTCGAAGGTCAAAGGTAACGAAAATCGCTTTTTTGCGAAAATCTCGCTTCCAGTGCATCTGACGTCGAAGAACCTAAAACAAAACTTACGTAAAATAGTATTTTCTACAAAATTATTCATATATATTTTTTTGTACGACCAACCGTTTTCGAAATATAGCGTGATAAAGGAGGAGCGCGCATTCAAAATAGGTGATACTGTATTATACAGGGTGTCCCCGTTCAACTGGTCAAAAATGCTAGGGTATATAGAGGAACCATAGAGAAGTAATTTGAGATAGGACACCGATGGTCGGGGAAGTGCGTCGTTACCAAAATACAGGGTGTTGAAATTTAAACAACCCCTCTCCATATCATCTGAAGGGCTGATGCTAGGCTGTTAAAATTTCCAGGGACTGATGTAGGGATGATATTTAAAAATTCGTATAATGCATCCCCATTTTCTACCTGGAAGCATCCCAAAAAAAATAAATAAAAAAAAAATTTGAAAAAAAAGCAATTTGTTTCATTTTTTTTTTTTTTTTTGGGGTGGTTCCAGATAGAAAATGGGGGTGCATTATACGAATTTTCAAATATCATTCCGACATTATTAATCCCTGGAAATTTGAACAGCCTACCATTAGCCCTCCAGATGATATGAAAGGGGGTTGTTTAAATTTAAAAACCCTGTATTTTGGAAACGACGCACTGTCCTATCTCAAATTACTTCTCTATGGTTCCTCTATATACCCTAGCATTTTTGACCAGTTGAACGGGTACACCCTGTATCACACAGTACCATCTATTTTGAATGCGCGCTCCCGTTTTATCAAGCAATATTTCGAAAACGGTTCATCGTACAAAAAAATTTATAGGAACAATTTTGTAGAAAATACTATTTTACGTAAGTTTTGTTTTAGGTTCTTCGACGTCAGATGCACTGGAAGCGAGATTTTCGTGAACTTTGACCATCGATATCTCAAGACGCACTAGGGTAGGCATATTCGATTTTTTGTGCTTTATTACAACATCAATACGAAGCTCTCTGCAAAAATTCAGCTTGTTCAGCCTCATTCCGCAGAGGAAGTCTAATTTCCCTGAGGTATTTATGAAATTTCTAACTAGTGTTGCCTGTGAAATGTTTAGAGTCTCCAGAAGACACCTCAAAGTCTTCAAGATCTTTGGGGGTTTTGAATCAAAAGTTGCAGCATCCCATAGGCTTTTTAATCTTTCAATAATCTTCTCAAAGGCTTCAATTTCAAGTTTCAAACCAGCATTAGAATCTCCATTCAAAAATCTTGAACGACCAGTCTGTGAGTGATGCGTCTTTAGAATCTCTAGAACTTAAAATTTTCTCAGTTCATAATTCATAAGCCTCAAGACACAAGGTCTTTGAGATTTTTAGGCACTTTCAATTAAAAGTTTCAGCATCCTAAAGATTCTTTTCGATACTTTCAGTTTTCTCAGAGGCTCCAATTTCAAGATTAAATTAGCATCAGAATCTCCATTCAACAATCTTGGAAAACAGGTTTCAAGTGTTGCGTCTTTAGAATCGCTAAATCATGAACTTTGAAAGACTCGGACTTGGAAGTTCCTCTATTCATAGGCCTCAATTGACTTCAAGTTCTTCAAGATCTTGAGTCAAAAGTTTCAGCATCCTAAAAGTTCTTTAATCTTTTTGATTCTTTTAGTTTTCTCAAAGGCTTCAATTTAAGTCTTAAATCAGCATCAGGATCTTCATTCAACAATCTTGAAATTGAAAAACTAATCTTCAAGTGTTGC